GCTAGCAATCCAAAACAGTCCAGTGGAGCCTGAGTGGTGGGTGTTGCCTTCTAACACACTTCCGGTGATGTCAGGGGTGTGTGGCATATGCAAATAAGTTATGCTAATGAGCTCCTGCACCTCTTTTTCTACGGAATGACCCCGGAACGCAACGCTGTGCAACCTCTATGAGCAGACGGGAAGGAGGATATACAGGGCTCTTTGAACACTTTTAGCAGCCACTGCCCCAAGTTTTCCTGCACGAGACTACTTATCTTTTATTCCTCTGTTCACAATTTGGGGGGGGGTGGGGGTAATCCTAAAGTGGTTCAACTCCGACGTAGGTCCCATGTTATTAAATGGAGAGCCGGCGTGGTGTAGTGATTAGTGATGGACTAGGATCTGGGAGACCCAGGTTCAAATCCCCACTTGGCCATGTTCGCTGGGTGACCTTGAGCCAGTCAGTTGATTACTCCCAGCCTAAACTACCTCACAGGATTGTTGTGAAGATAAAAAAGGAGAATATTGTAATCCACTTTGGTCCCCAAAGAGAAAGGTGGGCTACAAAGGAAGCAAATGATCAATAGTTATGTGACGTAGTCCTCCTTCTGTCACTGCTGACCATTCACAGGGAAGAACCCTATGTCTGGAAGAAGTCCGGTGAATCAGTTTCCTCCTGGCCACAATTCCCCAGTCAAGCCTCTGAGGTCAAGGTCAAATGGGATAATAACGGAATAAGGTAGATGGAAGTTTTCACACCACCCGTGGAGGCCATTTTGATCTCCCTCCTTCTGGAGTGCCTTCTGGATTCAGTTGGCTTTTCTCACATCCCTGCCCGTGTAATTGAGACGAGAGCCTCATGCCTGGTAAACGCCACAAAAGGAGTGAGCGTGGCGTCGAGGCGGCCTTGAATCTCCCGCGCCAAGTGCCAGAACTCTGTCAAGGAGCTCACAAAATGAAATAAAGGCCGGCCGAGAGGGAGAATGAAGGGCTTTTCATAGCGTTGTGGAAATTGAATTGGCAAATAAGCAAAAGCGTAAAAGGAAAACGAGAGAGAGAGAGAGAGAGAGAGAGAGAGAGAGAGAGAGAGAGAGCGCCTGTGCTGCCCCTAGCAGATTCTAGTAAGACAGTCAGGAATAAATCAGTAAATAGTTCCGTATCTTTAAATCCTTTGCATGCTGGGAGATGTCGTTTGGGTACCTTTGTGAATCAAGTGTTTCTACCTTAGCTCACTCTATTGGCTCAAGTTCAGAAGCCCACGGAAACAGGGTTTATTGCCCTCTTCCTTACTCTTCCTGTGTTTTTGTTCTAATCTCTTTGTCAGCATGATGCTTGGAAGCTATCTTTCCCCACCACAAATCTGAGCGAATAAGATTCTGTCCTCATGCAAGATGAACTGTATCACCCACCCTGATGACGAAACGTGAGTTCTAACCACTGGACCTTTCTGCAATAGAATAAAATCAGGTTTTCTATGAGTCACTTCCTGGTACATGTGTGCTGGTCACTTATCTGGTAAGCAGACTTGATCCGCTCTGGTCTTGAAATCAGAACACTGCCCATCTTCCAGAGCTAGACAAGAGTTCAAAGTCCAGAACTAATTCTGTTCCCTAGCTCTGAAATGGAAATAGTCGTCCTTTATCATAAGCGTATTTTGCATGTTGTACAACACCCCATAGTACCCACCAGTGTTCCCTCTAAGCTGAGTTAGTGTGAGCTAGCTCACAGTTTTTTAGTCTCCAGCTCAGACATTTTTGTCTTAGCTCAGGGAGGATGGCTCCAGCGCAAACTGTGCAGTAGCCAAATGGCTCGCTCACAGCGTTGCCAGTAGCTCACAAAGTAGGATTTTTGCTCACAAGACTCCACAGCTTAGAGGGAGCATTGGTACCCACTGACACCTTTCCTGGTGTCCCATCAAGTGTGTGTGTTTTTTTTATTAAGGAAGCAGGTAAGGCCAAATGGGGCTTCCTGCCCACTGGGGTGTCCGACTGCCTGCTGACCATCTCATTGGCTGTCAAGATTAAAATAACACAGTTTCAGTGAAAACGGACACCGCGGTCAGAGAGCCAGTTTGGTGTCGTGGTTAAGTGTGCGGACTCTAATCTGGGAGAACCGGGTTTGAGTCCCCACTCCTCCGCTTGCACCTGCTGATGTGACCTTGGCTCAGTCACAAGCTCTGGCACAGCTGTCCTTGAAAAAGAGCAGTTTGTGTCAGAGTTCTCTCAGGCCCACCCACCTCACAGGGTGTCTGTTGTGGGGAGGGGGAAGGGAAAGGAGTTTGTAAGCCGCTCTGAGACTCCAAGTGAAGGGCGGGGTATAAATCCAATCTCTTCTTCTTCTTCTTCTTACATTCCTTGTGATACCTGCACTTGGCTTTTCCACGTGGGTACAGTTTTTACCTCTCAAGGGGACCCCTTTGTAGTTGCGTTATGTTAGAATTCCAAAGGCGCCTAAAGCTGTCAAAAGGTTGGGGGGGGAGACCTCTGCTCCACAAGATGAAGACCAACACACGAAACGAATTTAACGGAAGGATGTAAACTAAGAGGACAGCTGCTGTATTGCTTCTTTTGCAAATGTAGATATGGGATGGGAAAGAGCAGGGATTAATACACCACAACAGTCTGTGTACATTTTACGTGCATATTTATTGAAAAGGCCTAACATCAAGGGGGGGGGAGTATACTAGAACGGACGGTCTCTTCTGGACAAAGTCTTCCGTGATTAACCTGAACTTGAGTTTTTCAGCTCCGCGTTCACTTCTTCCCAGATTTTCTCCCTGATTCTTGATGTATCGTATTCTCTCATCATATCGAATTCTAGCCAGGGCTTGTTCCACTCTTTCACTTTCTCTTTGTCTTTTTCGTCAAGGTAGAAGTCAAAGTTGATGCCCTGGATCTTAAACCTTGGATGCTCCCAGTGTGCGGACCACGGTCTAGGTTTCATTTTGACTTTCATCTGGAACATATGGAAGTAAAGGAAAAACACATCAGGAATTGGCTACTTCACTGGGTTTCATTTTAAAATGCCAGGCCTACCTTCTTCCTTGGCACCCAATGATCTCCCGAAATCGGTGGCCAACAGTGCTATGGATGTTTACTCAGAGGGGAATCCCATTTTATTCAGTGAGCCATACTCCCAGGTAACCCGGTCTTAAGAACGTAGCCAGGGTTGCGAGCTCTGGGGAGGGAAATACTTGGGAGATTTGGGGGATAGAGCCTGGAGAGGGTGGGATTTGGGGAGAGGAGGGATGTCAGCAGGGTATAACGCCACAGAGTCCACCCTCTAAAGCAGCCATTGTTGCTGGAATATGCAAGGTCTACAGTGCAGCTTTATGAAAAAGATCAGGAGGTCACCCTACAAGGGGACAGCTGAAGGACTGCTAGTTGGCATAGCTAGATGAGGGATCTCCCACATCTTCAGATCCTGTCCTTCCTGTCTCCTGATTGGCTCTGCTGGAGACTTTCCTGCTCCTCCAGAGCTTCTATGGTGGTTCCTCCTTCAGCAGTTAGATTAGACAGTTAAGGTTCTCTCTAGAAGCAGCCAGGTAAGTTGCAGAGCTCCCCCCCGCCCCCCCTGGCCCAAGACAGTCCAGTGGCACCTTTAAGACCAAGTTTTATTTAGGTATAAGCTCTCCCGCCTCTGCGAGGACAGATCTGCACGGCTGCGAGGACAGATCTCTAGCACCATAGTTCAAAAGAATCTATTCTTCGGCGCTCGGCCTTCCTTATAGTCCAACTCTCGCAGCCATACGTGACTACTGGGAATACCATTGCTTTGACCATGTGGACTTTTGTTGGCAGGGTGATGTCTCTACTTTTTATCATGCTGTTTAGGTTCGCCATCGCTTTCCTCCCAAGGCGCAGGCGTCTTTTAATTTCATGGCTGCTGTCAGGGCCTTAGGAAAGTATAACTTGGCCATGCTCTCCCACCATTCAGCGGATCCCCAGTTGGGTTCCACCCTAACGTTGGTGGCAATTATGTCCAGTCCGTAGACTCTCACCCCCAAAACGGAACTTTAGCAATAATATTTCATAATAATCGTCCATAAAGAATGGCTACACCTTCCCCCCCTGCTGTGTAAGAGTTAGGGTTGCCAACCTCCAGGTGGTGTCTGGAGATCTCCCAGAATTACAGCTGGTCTCCAGGCTACAGAGATCAGTTCCCTTGGAGAAAATGGCTGCTCTGGAAGATGGACTGTATGGGATTATATCCCCCCCTGAGGTCGCTCCCATCCCCAAAGTAGCCTCTGCCCCCAAAATCTCCAGGGATTTTCCAACCCACAGATGGCAACTCTAGTCAGAGTACAGATATGAATGGGTTGTTTCCAGTCTGCTTTTCCCTTCAGTCCCACATAACACTCCTCCTCCATCCCCCGGGCAGGTCCCATAATGCCCAGCATAACCTTTTTCACCAGTTTGGTGTAGTGGTTAAGTGCGCGGGCTCTAATCTCGGAGAACCAGGTTTGATTCCCCACTCCTCCACTTGCACCTGGCTGGATGGCCTTGGGCAAGCCATAATTCTGGCACAGCTGTCCTTGAAAAAGAGCAGTTTCTGTCAGAGTTCTCTCAGCCCCACCTACCTCACAGGGTGTCTGTTGTGGGGAGGGGGAGGGAAAGGAGTTTATAAGCTGCTCTGAGACACCTTTGGGTAGTGAAGGGCGGGGTATAAATCCAATCTCCTCCTCTTCTTCTTCTTCACGATCAAAGGGAACCCCTTTTTCCTTTTGTCATCAGTGGAAAAGCTGGTTGGATCCATTCCAATATTTGCAATTATTTTTCTCTCTTCAGCACGTAGACCACAAGTTTTAAACTACTGTTATGAAGTGGAGGCCCATAGGAACTATTAATGGCTATTTAAGGGTGCATATAAAAAACAACCGCAAAAATAATTTTACAGAAGAACTGCCTGCTGACAGCAGTATTTTTTCCCTCCCGGTTAGTCACTGATTCCACAAGCTGGGTAACATAGAATTGTTCAAGAGATCATTCTGATAAAACTGATCGGACTACATGGTAACAAAATAGTTCAGGATGGCCTTTTTATATATATAAAGGGAATGAGACTGTGAGCTATACTGCTCTGTATAGTATGTATTATCTGGTCTTTTGTATGTATTATTCTACTCTTGCTGCTTTGTTTCTATTCAGATGGGTAGCCGTGTTGGTCTGAAGCAGCCAAACTGGACTGCATTGTAACAAAATGGTTCAGGGAGGCCTATTTTTTTTTTATAAAGGGAATGAGACTGTGAACTATACTGCTTCGGACAGCGCTGGCTCTTCGGCTTTGAAACGGAGTTGGATTCGACTGGCTTTCAAGCAAGGGAAACCTTTACCTTTACTATAGTATCTATTATCTGGTCTTTTGTATGTATTATTCTACTCTTGCTGCTTTGTTTTTATTCAGATGGGTAGCCGTGTTGGTCTGAAGCAGCTTGTTGGTCTCAAAGGTGCCACTGGACTCAAACTTGGTTCTACTGTGTTGTTTTTATGCTTACGTAGCACCATTTTCTGCATTGTTTAATCTACCGTGTCTATTGAAGCTGCTTTCTACAGAATCAGACCATCGGTCCAGGGAAACTGTAGAAGATCTGATGCCGTCGTACAGAGGGTGGGCAGTAAATCAGCTTGTTACTCCAGAATCTGATAAACATCTTCATTATGTTGGCATGCTAATTTACTGCCCACCCTCCATTTCAGTGTGTCTGAGGAAGTGTGCCTTGCACACGAAAGCTCATGCATTGAATAAAACTTTGTTGGTCTTAAAGGTGCCACTGGACTCAAGCTCGGTTCTACTGCGTTGTTTTCATGCTTACGTAGCACCATTTTCTGCATTGTTTAATCTACCGTGTCTACTGAAGCTGCCTTCTACAGAATCAGACCCTTGGTCCATCAAGGTCAGTATTGTATATTCAGACCGGCAGCCGCTCTCCAGGGTAACAGGCAGGGGTTTTTCCCATCACCCGCTACCTGGTCCTTTCAACTGGAGATGCACGAAAAGCAGACACTTGGCCCCTGAGCCACAACGCCTCCCTAATATACCTAATGCTTTGTTGACAAGTGCTGTGATTCTAAGTCAGCTCACACTGTGTATTCTGCTCTGGATCTCAGTGAGACAGGCGGGGTCTAAATAAAGTAAAATAAAAACATAAAATACCCAATCCTAGTGACAAGTATTTTGAATCCCTTTCGTTTGGTCATATCCTCGTGTTGGGAACCAAAGCACAGATGTGTAGAGTAGTCAGCCATCTTCCTTAGGCTGCCACTCGGACAACCTGGAAACGACAACTGGTCCAGAATGTGGCAGCCGACTTATGGTCAGGGGCTAGCCGCTGGGAACATTTGTTGCCCGTTTTGAAACCGTTACACTGACATCCGGCCTGTTTTTGAGTACAATTCAAGGTGCTGGTTATGACTTTTAGAGCCCTTCGCAGCCTGGGTCCTTCCAAATGTCCATGTGTGCCAATGACGGCTGTCAGGCAGCCATCTGTTGACTATCTCACCACTTACGGTGGCCCGTTTGGCATCGACCAGAGCCCAGGCCTTTTCCATCGTGGCGCCAGCTCTGTGGAATGGGCTCTCTGACGAGGTGAGGGGGGGGCTT